ATTTTTTAAAATAATATTTTAATAAAATAAAATTTAAAAAATAAAAAAAATTGTCATAAAAATTCATAGAAAGAAATCTCACATGAAAAAGTAAAACCAGAACGACAGTGATGAGCCGCAGGATTCGTTCTTGCGGGGTCGTTTGCGGAATCAATCCGCTCGCGTCCTTGGTGGGATCTTTTATGGCTGTTCCGCGAGAGAGGCATAATCACATCATACCCATTTACGATATGCACGAGTCATCGAGACAAAAGAGAACGAACAGCCACACGTGCTTATTATATGATCTAAAATTACGACACGAATATTTCTTCTTATGATTTTTAGTCCTCCTCTTCCTCTCTTTCCTCTTCTGTATCTACTTTCTTTTTTATCCAGCACTTTTGTCCCAAGATCCAAGATAAAATAAAATAATTATAAATCTTTTGAGCGCGGAATCCAGAGAATAAAAGAAAAATGGGAAAAAGGAGGAAAATTATTTACATTCGATGTGTGTTTTGAATGAAAATGTGAATTGTGAAAACGAAGATACTGAAGAAACACATAAAAGAAGAGATTTTAAGCAAATACATCAACTATCGTTAATATCATTTGTCAGATAAATAAGAATATATAATGTGTTCAATGTAAGTGCATAAAGTTTCAACATGATGTATTGATCAGTATTGATATTATATATTGACACGTATGCACGCGCACGCACGATATATAATATATGATATACAAAGAAAAATGTATATTATAAAATGTTGCAATTAATAATGCAAATAAAAACATAAATATTAAGATTTTTATATTAAATATATGAAAAATAACAAATAAAAAAATTAATATTAAGATTTTTATATTAAAAATATAACTTTTCTTAATTTTCTTAAGTTGTCAGTATGTAAAAAAGTTTATATTTTGTGTGTGTGTGTCTGTGTATGTGTGAAGTAAAATATCTTGGACAGTATCGATATGAAAAATAACAAATAAAAAAATTAATATTAAGATTTTTATATTAAAAATATAAAAGTCCATTCTTTTCTTAAGTTGTCAGTATGTAAAAAAGTTTATATTTTGTGTGTGTGTGTCTGTGTATGTGTGAAGTAAAATATCTTGGGAAAACTGAACAGTATCGAAAAAATAGTTTCGGATGCGCCAAACTTATAGTCTTTTAAATGAAAAATTCTGAATATTATAAACCCATTAAGGCCGTTATTTTTCTAATAAATCATTGAAAGTATTTTCTTAACTGGAAACTTGTATTTTTTAAACAGAAATTTTAATAAGTTAATAAAAGCCAAGTACGATATTATATTTTCCATTTTGACACTATAAAAAATGGGAAAAATCTGTTTCACAAATATAATATATATGTCATATACATCTCATAGTTTTCATCACACTGTCATAACGCATAACACCGGCATCAGCGTTATTTAAGGTGTATCACGTAAAAATTGCACAATCGGACTTACACTTTTATTTGTGGGTGTGTGTGTGCATGTTCCAAGATGTATGTTCGTGTAAAAATTAAAAAAAAATATAATATTAAATTAAAGATTAACTTTTTGTTAAGTTATAAAAATACAAATATCTAAAAAATTTCTACATGAATCTCTCATAAAATTGTGAAACTTTACTTGTGAAATATCGGAATCATTGACACATACGCAGATGTACGTCGAAATATGCAGTCTTTGCAATTGCAACCGTGCAGCGCAGTAACATTAAAAGCCGAAAAGGCCATAGCTCTCAGATCTTTTATGATCGTCAGAGAGTACACTTGTCTAGCGGCAATAATAAAATAGGATGCAATGTAGCACAACGCAAGCAATGATTTGCTAGTATAAGTGAAAAGTAATTTCTAATAAAGGAGCAATTTAAATTTAAAATTGTTGCATAAAAATTGCGTTCAGTCAATTACATTATTGTAACTTAATCCTCAATAGAAGATATAATAGATAATAATTATATAATAATTATAGATTAGTAATAATGTCCTATTATTTCTCTGTGATTAATTGTAAATGTGTCTAATTTGCTCTATTATATTATCATATATCCTTGAGCTTTATCTTTTATTCCTTTCTAAGAGGAAAGTGTAATAATTGTTTTTTTATATTCGTAAGATATATTTCGTTTCAAGAGAGATATTACGAAGAGGATAGGAGCGGTTATACAACAAATTTAATATAATACCTTATAGGAAATTCTGTTATCTTTTGAGGAAGTTGGGGAAGCGGGGTCTTCTCCCGAGATGTTTGCAGTTTCCGTTCTCGCCAGTTGATAATCGATTTCGCTGCTCCACGAGTGTCGCCTTTTCAGGTCCCCTAAAACAAAAAATGATAGATATGAAATGGATTAAAAGACAAAGAATATATTTTTATAGAGATTTAAATAAATTCCCAGATATGTACAAAATAAAAAATACTGCTTTCACAATTCCTCTCTTATATGATAATTATTAAATTAAACAATAAATAAAATAGAAGGATACAAAAGTAGAAAATAATTGCTATTAAATCAACTTGCTATTATTCCTAAACTTTCATTAAATGAATCATAAAAAAGAAGGGTAAACCTTGATATTAGCGCCGACCTCACCGATTTCAATGACCTTGACATATGTTGTCAAGGACATGACTCTAAGTAACTTGCAAAAATTTTAGCCGTTGCTCATTGTTTATTACAAAGTTATTAACAATAAAATGATATGATAAGAACACGTATTAAATGCGATAATCTGAATTTCTCCATGCATGAGCGTTATATATTTAAGTATTTAGTTGTATATTTAAGTTATTAATTATCCCAGTGAGCATTATTGAGAGGATGAGCTCTTTAAGAGGACTTTTTAAAGACTTAATTAAATTTTCTTAGAAATGATATCAGTAAGTTATCTTTTTGTGAGATATCTTTCAGAAGAGCTCTTTATGATATCTCTTTATAGATATCTCTAAAGTCTCTAGCAAGCGTGCCATTTAAGATATTTTACGAAAGCCGCACACATGCGCAAGCAACGTACGTGTGAACTAGAGACCCTGTGTTCTAGTGTGAACTGCGTGCCACTGCGTGCTCTGGATTTCAAAGAGATATCATTTTTTCAACATTTTTAAGATAATCTTTCTTTCTTAAATTATAAATATTATTAAATATGTATTTGAGCATAAAATATATTAATATTTTCATATATATTTTTGTTATTTCTATATTTAACCTAAGAAGTTGGGTTATGTCTTCAAAAAATGTAAAGGGCGTTTTTTAATTCATCGATTGATCAATCGCATATGATGCGCAAGTACAGCAAAGTCCTGTATTTGCTACATTTGTGCATCATGCGATTGATCAATCGATGAATTAAAAAACTCGCCCAAAAATATAATACTACAAATAGAACGGTTCTTAACGGTGACATTTTTTTGATATTTAAAAGAAGTCAGATTGTGGAATTCTTTTAGATGTCAATTATATGATGTCTTTCTTTCCTCTAAAATCGACGCATTGGAGGACTTATTGATATCATAATATTATCATTTTGATGGTGTTTTCGGAAGTCCGACTCTTAAACTTGAGTACTTTATGAATTTCTTTTGATAACATATTGCTCACTGGGAAGAGAGAATTTCTCTATATGAAAATTTGCGATGCAAGCATTGCTAGAGAGTGAAGAATTATGGGGCTGTGTAGAAAGCGTGGCAGCGGACGTACAAAACGCAAGAAAAATGGCTAAGGCGAAAGGATATTTGATCCTTGCTGTGGATAAACGCAATTATAGTCACATACAAGAATGTACAACTCCAAAGGATATCTGGAAGAAGTTGACGGAAACGTTCGAAGACGGCGGTTTAACTCGCAAGGTAAGCCTGCTGCGATCTCTTACCTCAACGAAACTGAACGAGTGTAAGAACGTAGAGGAATACGTGTACAAAATCTCTAACGCAGCACATCAGCTGAAAGGGATAGGCTTTACCGTACCGGAAGAGATGTTAGGCGCTTTAATGTTGTCTGGTCTTCCAGAAGAATTCAAGCCCATGATAATGGGTTTAGAAAATTCTGGAACCGTTATAACAGGTGACTCTATCAAAATAAAGTTACTTCAGGAAATCAAGATACCAGACACAACTCAGATTGCACCAGAAGGAGCAGTATTCCTAGCAAAGAATAAAAAGGCTGGAATAAAAGGTCAAAACCAGGTACGCAAATGCTTCAATTGTGGGAAACCAGGACATTTTGCAGCTAGATGCAGATATAAAAGTAAACCACAGGAAAATGAAAGCTCAAATAATACTAAAGCATTTCACGCAATGGCAGCTCGCAAAAGCATATAGGAAAATTACTGGTATATGGATTCTTGCGCATCGATGCACATGACGAAGAAGGAAGACTGGCTCAAAGATAAAGAAGTTTGTGATACAACGATTGTAGCAGCAAGTAACAAGAGCTTGAGAGGAACAGCAAAAGGTTCTATAAGTCTTAAAACAAGTAACGGAAACCAAATTGAGAAAATCAGTGTCCAAGAGGTGACGTACGTGCCTGGGATAGCTGCAAATCTTCTGTCTGTTAGCAAGGTCACAGACAAAGGATATCAAGTGATTTTCGACAAGAAGGGATTTGCTGTGGTGAACGAAAGAACAAAGGAGGTAGCAGCCAAAGGACACCGACAGGACGGAGTGTACATAATGACTTCACCTGAAGATAAGGCGCTGTTTGTAAACACTACCAGTGAGCTAATGTGGCATCAAAGGTTAGGACATTTGAATCGAAAATCTATGTTGAAACTCAAAACAAAACCGGCGTATGGACTAACAAGAATAAATGTAAGTAAAGAAATATGCGAGATTTGCGTTGGGGGTAAGCAAAATAAATTACCTTTTAAAATAAGCGGTAAAAGAGCGGAGAAATTATTAGATCTTATACATTCCGACTTATGCGGACCTATGTCAGTCGAATCAATAGGTGGAGCTAAATATTTTATTACATTCGTCGACGATCATTCGCGAAAGATGTTTGTATATTTTATTAAAAATAAAAGCGATGCATGTAATAAATTTAAAGAATTTAAAGCATTAGTAGAGAATCAAACCGGACGTAAAATAAAAATATTGCGTACAGACAATGGAAGGGAATATTTAAGTAGCGAGTTCACAGAAATACTTAAAAATTCAGGAATAAAACATCAAACTACCATTCCTTATAATCCACAGCAGAACGGCTTGGCAGAAAGGGCAAACGTACGTGTGAACGTGTGAACTAGAGACCCTGTGTTCTAGTGTGAACTGCGTGCCACTGCGTGCTCTGGATTTCAAAGAGATATCATTTTTTTTAAGATATTTTACGAAAGCCGCACACATGCGCAAGCAACGTACGTGTGAACTAGAGACCCTGTGTTCTAGTGTGAACTGCGTGCCACTGCGTGCTCTGGATTTCAAAGAGATATCATTTTTTCAACATTTTTAAGATAATCTTTCTTTCTTAAATTATAAATATTATTAAATATGTATTTGAGGATAAAATAGATTAATATTTTCATATATATTTTTGTTATTTCCATATTCAACCTAAGAAGTTGGGTTATGTCTTCAAAAAATGTAAACCTAACCCAAACCTATTTTTGATTTAAAACTAAAATATAAAAATGCAATGTTTACGAGATATTTGAGTGTATCCAGACTTTCGACACACACTGTATATTATAACTTATATTATATCTTTATATATAATTAGCAAGGTTTATTCTAATATTAAATATTTTTAAAAAAGAAACGTAACATCTATCATTTTCATACCAATATAAGATTAAGATCTTAAATATTTAAAAAAAGAAACATAACATCTATCACTTTTTAAATTACATATAAAGTTACAATATAAGTTATTATAATATAAGTTATAATATAATATAAATTATATAAGTTATGATGTGTGTATTCTACGTATTTACGAGATAGATTAGTTAGGTAATTTATAGTATGGTACAAACATATAGTATATGTACCAATCAAAGAAATAAAAGGGTTGCTTTTTATAATTCAGAAATATAATAGATATCAAGAGACACGGTAGTGTCTCGCGCCAAGTCACGCGCAGCAACAGCGAGGCACCCCGGGTATCTATACGCGAGTCGGCTAGTTGAGATACCTTAGATTTATTGGACCTCAATAACGGCTGAACTGATCATATTTTTAATAGGCTTAATCGATACCTTGGGTTTAAATTATATAATAAAAGTGTCTTTATCTTTTTTCTACATGTATCGTAAACGTAATATGAATGGAAAGTCTCAATGTGAAAATTTTTTTTTGTTCAAAATTGAAACATTCGATGCCTAACTTTCAATCGACGA